CCAAAAAATGTCTCGGCCGGATCTTCGGAAATACGCACTTTAAATATTAAAAACTGTTCCAGGCATGGGCCTATAATAAAGGACATTCTGCAATGATTTCCCAATGGTGCTTTTTAACGAGAAGTCAATTTTGTATTGATCAGTCTAGGCTGCACAACGATACCCATCAATTCATGAAACTGTAGTGATTATATTGTTAAAGAAACCCATACACCGAGCAACGATCATAATATCGCCATTACCCGGTTTATGTAACCATGAATTAGGTAAATGGTAATACGAAAAAAAACTAATGACAATCTATTTTGCCGTATCGCCATAATCTAATCGTAAAGGTACTTGCGTGTTTATAATAAATAAGGAAGGCTCCTAAAAATGCGAACATATTTTTTTCATTAAAATAAACTGAACCAAGAACCTATGTTCTATATGTAGTTAACAATAACTAACTAAATGAAATACAATATTGAAATATTGTATTGAGTAATGTATCATATTATAATATATTAAAAGTGCTCAGATAATCAAATATTAGTTACTATTGACAGATTTTGTTCAGTTATATGAGTTTATGAAAATATATGTTAACATTATTAATCAACGAGTAATAGACTCAAAAAAAAACCATCATATATGTTTGATTTTAAACATCATCTAGTTTCTTTTTGACAGAAAATATTTTGTCAAAAATGTACACTTTTAGTAATTCAATTTTGCAATACTTTTGAAACTACAAAAGAAAGAGATCGATGTGCATTGAATTTTTCTAAGTCTCGAATTCTCACAAAAGTTAATAGTTATACTGCCGGAGAATATTTATTGTTGTGTTCTTTACGACTCCAGCAAACTTAGCTCGTTTAAGGAAATTCCTGAGTTTACACCATAAAGTGAGGTCGGTGGAGCAAAATTAATCTACATTGGCCTAAAAGTTACTACTACTTTCGTTCAGAGGAAGGAAAGCCCGCGTTAAGTTGAAAATAATTGGCAAAGCATAGGAAATTGAAAATTGAAATATAATTGCTAAATTTATCGCTACCTAGATCATTATATTATCCAAGTTTTACTACTTAGGGTGTTATCAATATGTTATTAACCAAAAAAAGTTTTCCCATCACTTAATTGCTGAGCCATGATAATAACACTAAGAGCCAGTAAAAACATAACTTGCAAAGCGTCGAGTAGAGAATTATGTACCTTTTTCACTGTATTTCATATTATCAATATAATATTATTATAATATAAGAGTTAAATATCTTTCCTAGAGTATGAAAAATGTAATGAGGAATAGAATATTTTTACATGTTTAATACCTATATAGTATTTTAAACAGTAAAGTTTGATCTTCCATAAAAAATAAATCGTGTGTAAGGAATGAGTTTTCGAGAGAACAAAAAATATAAAATTGAACATTACAACGATCTGAGACAGACTTTAGGTGAATTCAATCAACTAGTTTTTGTGGTACTTTACTACTATTTCCAAACGGACGATAGAAGAATATTGTTGTTAACCCACAATTTAGCCAACGAATAGCTAAGACTATTCACAAAACACGTTCAATGTCCTTTTTTTTGTTGTGAAGTAATTTAGTTCGTAAATTACCCAGCCATAAAATAGCGATCACGTTTCATGTTCGTAATGCGACGCATCTGGTAAACATATATTTAAGTGTATCTATATATAATATAATAATTTAGAAGCAGTTCCGAAATTCTGTCAGTTGATCACCACAAGTTGTATAAAACATTTGATGTTTATATGCTTAGAATGTAATGTTTGCATTTTAAACGATCGACTGTAATTCGTCAAATGTATGAGGAAAATAACCGCTAGAGTGAACGACGGCATACAACGAAAAAATACGTCAAAGATAAAAATAAGAAAAACGTGCACATAGTGAAACATCCATTGTAATAATAATATTACGAGTAAGTATAACGTACTTTGTCGAGAACAAAAACATGTTTTTGATTTCATATTGCAAATTATCGTATTACAATATAGTAAAAATATATGAGTTTCGTCCAAAGCTAAACTTTTAAAAGTTTGTCACAAAGGTAGCATAGACATCTGTACACTAAACACATACTTTTTTAGTAATATGAATACTAGCATGTACCTTTACTTTTTACTACGTAGCATATTATTTAACACTAGTAAACTGTGTACGTTATACTTTGTTCATTGGTTTTATTTGTTTAACAATGTTTTTGATAAACAAATAATCTATTCATCTTAGAATGACTGTTGTATGCGACGTATGGGACTATCGTATATTAACAAAAACCAATTGTATTTTATAATGATTGTTTTTTTTTTAACCTAAAATGTATAACTGTAAGACTATATGATATCATTATTGTTGTCGAACTGTTATTGTATATTTTAATATCATAATTTATACATTTATTTTGTTTTTCATTCGTAAATTTAAATAAATTAGTTTCTTTTGTGGCTATAACGTTTTTGGTTTGTTGTATTGCACGCGACTAATAACATAATAATATTAACAGGCGCTTTGTTTCAAATTCTGTTCGAAAATGTTTAACCTGACCCATGGTTATAGCAGAAAAAACCCCATATTGTAAACAACGGTTGAGCGCATGACTGACATGGTATGCGTATTAGGTACTTATTATTTATTATTATCAGAATTATTCCACTCACATCCGTCTAACGTCTCGAATACGTTATGAGATAACCATATTATTACATCAGTAATAGCCTCAAAAGCCACAACGTCGAATTTATGGTAAGTAAATGTTATCATGGCACCACAACTACAACCATAATACAATAGTTATACTTTCGTCCATCGACCAAAAAGCTACATAACATTCATCATACCAAGACCGATTCAAATAATATTATTCATTGCCGACTGCTCCCGAACCGACCGAGTCCGTCTGTACATACGTACTGCAACAGTGTAATGAATATGATTATTCTAAATCATGTTTTACGGTTCGTGTTCTATTTATTATTACTATTATTAATATATTTTTTATTATTATTATTATTATTTCATGAATAAAACTTTGGTAAATTTTAATGCCTAAATCACGCAAGAACAATATGGTCGTTCGACGTGCAGACGATAAAATCGAACAGCCGTGCAGTGTTTGGGGAAAAAATTCGAGTGTTCAAACGTTATATACATACATACACACACGTTACACACCTAGTGCTAGAAGGGGGGTGGAGGTTAAAAACGGGCGTGTTGTGAAAAAAAAAAACACCACCATAACTCCCTTGTGTTATCGTCGAAACGCCGGAATGCGTGCGTTATTAATACGACCGAGTTCACTGCGTATCGGCGTTAAAAATCTAAACTATAATGTGATCTACCCGAAATAATTACACCGCGTACACGTCGGGGCTTAATTAGTGGAAGTACGGTTTTCCGGGACACGGGATAATAATAATAATAATAATAATAATAATCATAATAATAATCATAATATCGTGCGGAACGGCGGGATGGGGGGCACGATGGTAGTTTTAAACGGGTGGATCGTCAGACGATTTTATAAGTCCCACCGAACTAGACGGGCGGCCGGAATACAATCGTATAATTATTATTAATGAATCGCTGCAATGCGCGCGTTTCTACAGGTTACCGGGTTAAAAACGCCCATACCGGAAGACAAAAAAAACTGCGAATCGTCGGCGCTTCCGTAAGGTATCTCGCAAAGTGTAATGGTATGCGATTTCAGCTGACTGCCGGGCCAATCAATATTATATCTGAGTGTTTTGTCACTACATTCGTATAATTGCAGTTCTGCAAATCCGTGTAATCGCTGTCTGAGAAAACTCGACAACCATCACGTAAAACGGAGCATGATAATAGAGGGGCGAATCAGTAAATTAAAGTTTATGTACATATATATGTGTGTGTGTAATTATAATATTATAATTGTATGCTTAATATTTTGTGTGTATACCATAGTAATAGAGCAATAGATCGAGAACTTAAGTGATTATAAGTTATAACGCATATAATTATTATTAATTCGTGTCGAAACTTACTTAAAACGGACACAAATAACTCGATTGCTAAGAGCATTGCCATCGGAATTATACACAACATTCAATTTAGAACTTTCGGCGTCAGACAAATTATTTCACGATGAGAAACTAAAAGTGAATGCTTTCTATCGGCTCGGCAACATTAGTTAGTATATTGCTGTAGTGCTATAACTATAATAGTATTGTTAAGGTCCTTGACACGAGCAAGTAGAATACATTATTTGACCAGCGAACAATCCAATATCTGAATTGATATTATACGCAAGTCGATTAATCGATACAATCCGTTGTGTGTTCACCTAATATGGTACACTATGACGAGCCGCAAGTTAAGTCTGTCGATGTGCTTGGTCCGGGCCGGAGTTGGCAGAACTCAAAGAGAGTGGTTTAGTAAATCAATGCGTACTAAGAGTTGTGATAAACTAATTTTGGTTCTAAGCAGTATCGGAAAATATGACCGTTAAGTAATGAAAAACTTCATCCGTCTAGACAAACTAACCGCACAAGTTTAATTAGTTACCTAACGTAATCTAAGTACGGACCATTTATGATTAAAGTGTTTCTGTTTCGTTCCGCCAATAACGCAGATTCAGTGAAAAACAACCGAATAAAAACAGACGTTCACCAAATCGAATATTGTAATAATTTCCGAGTAACCATTTGGATCCACATATTATATTAAAAAAAAATATCTGAAATCGGTTTAGAAATCGAAACGCATTTTCAATCTGTTTACGAATTTTGTTCAAAAATCCTTCGGATACGGCTGATCCTCGGAGTCCGTTGGACATCGATCCCCGACTATCTACTCGACCAAAATAAAGTGAAAAATCCGAGGTTTGAAATACTGCACATCAAATCCGCTCAAGTCGAAATCGGCTACGCGAAATGGCCGTGACACACCCCCGACGAGGATGACCACTTATTTCGGAAATGCACTTTGGGGGGGGGGGGAGGGACAATGCACTTACCTTGGGCCGGCGCGTAGATGTTCAAGTACAGGCAGTCCTCGCTCTGGTTCTGCAGGTAGGGTAACAGCCGGCGCAGGTACTGCATGCGGCCGCGGGCCATCGTCTTCAGAGCGGCCGTCTCGTCGGACACGTTGGGCAGCCGCTGAGGGCACACCGGCCCGAACCGGTCGGCCACTTTGACGCCCGACCACAGCGAACCGGTGACCGGCGGCATGAACCGGAGCGAGCCGACCGGTGGCGAGGCGTACGGCACGCCACGGAACACCTCGACCGCGTCCAGCCGCCGGTTGTCGGGCGTCACGATCACTCCGCTCACGTCGCCGTACTTGGTGCGCACCACCCGGCTGGACGTGAGCGCGGCGCTGACGCCACCGAACACGAACGCCACCAGCAGCCACCACGGCGGCACCATGATCGCCGTCACCACCGCTGCCCGAGCGGCCGACGGCGACGGTGGCGGCGACAACGCTAACAGTAACGGTCACCCCTCACGACGCACATCGCATCGACTACCCTTCCGCCGACGCCGCCGCCGCCCCTCCGCTACTTCCGTCCAATAGTGCGAACCGCAAAGTCAATCCTCCTGTACAAACGAAGATAAAAACATTATTACAGTTGAAAAAATATGTTTTTGAAGTCAAGTACGTTGGGAAACGATATCCGGACGCGATAGTAGTTATGTAAATTAATTATTTTTTATAAAAATATACACTTGAACGAGTGTAGTAAACAGTATTTGTTGGATTCAATTCAGACAATTCAAAAGTTCTCGTAGGACTCAATTCAATTTTATGAACTCAATTTAATATTATCGCTTAGAACAGTGTTTCCCAAACTTTTTGCAATGGTGACCCATAAATATCTTTCTTGGGTACGCGACCCCCTACTAAAAAAAAAAAAATTAATAATGCCATAAATTAATACTATTTTTAATTTATCCATTTTATATTCTCACCGATAAGACAACAATTATTTGTTAAAATATTAATATATTAATATATATATATATATTTCCATAATCGTAATAAAATAATATAAAGATTACTAAAAATATGTCATACATTCTACAATATTAGTTGGACTTCACATTATTATTATACAATATAGAGGTATCAATTTACGGCTAAAAATAACAGCAATTGTAACCGTGAGTCGCGACCTATCAAAAAGATTTCGCGACCAATGGTTTGGGGAACGCTGGCTTAGAACATAGTCAGCTGCTCCACTAAAAGTTCTAGGAAAGCTTACTAGCTGTCATTATGTTGATGTTTAAATTATATGAATAAAATATTCTGTTTTGTTTTAAATTAACAAGTACCTAATGTGGTTTAACTTATTTATTAGCTATCATTCGCAATACTACTCAAGATTGCAACGAACACGCTACGTCGTTTAAATAATAACTGTGGTGCCGATTACGCGCATGATTACGTATTTCTGTTTGGTGATAAGGGTCCCTCGCCCCTTTCCCTTGAGGGTGAAAGAATAATCGCTAATTATTGCATGAGAAAATTATTATAGAAATGGTATGTATTTAGTATTACCTACTGATGTCGAGGACGCAAGACGCTATACTCCGAGAATAAACAAATAAAACACAAAACAAGTATCAATCTTGTGGTCATTGTATTATAAGACTGATGGTCACAAATCAAAATAATAATTGTGACGTGACAAGACTTTGATTTGGAGCTTCCCATTGCACAGTATCGTGTTTTCCAAATTATATGATATTATTCAAAGCCCACGGGAGACTAATTGTCTGTATTGATACTCCGTACACAATGTGATTTATATATTCATAACGACAATATTATTCCTTTTGCCGTTCGGTTTATTAATTGTTATTATTATTTCTATTGCTCGTCATCTAAATTATGTGACTAAAAGCTCGTTTCAATTTTGATTATATTGTACACTAAAAACTATTTATTTACTATATTTTGGAGACAAAAATACTTGTTATGAACATTGATATACTAATATCAAATCATCATTTATCAATACACAGCTTGGACATTATCATTATATTATTAGGTATACAGTGAAATCCAAAACAACACTTACAAAATAATATAACCATTATAACTTTAGAACTCATCTTTTTAAACTTTTTTTTTTTTGATTTTACTTTAGTTAAGCAATTGAACGGGGCAACCATAATTTTTTTCGGAATTATATTCAAAATATTGGAGTTATTTGTTTCTACCTACTTAGTGGTTTGTTAAAAATTCGTGAAAATAGGTCCTTCAAACAGTTCAAACAACTCCACTCTTCAAACTTTAAATAATGTATAGCTTTAAATATATTTGTTGAACGTTATACAAAGATAAATCATAATAAAAAACTGTATCTGAAATATATGAACTATTTTCAAATTGTTTTTTATACCAGTTTTCGTCGAATCTTAACCTTTAGATACCATACGACTTTACATCATAGTCAATAAAAAATCAAAATAATTAGTATTATCCACTTGAAAAAATTAGTCTATAATATTATATTATAAAGAGAGGAAAAAGCGCTGTTATTATTTTGTATGGCGTTTGAATAGCACCGAAAATTTTACAATTTATAGCGGTTATTTTACAATGAAGAGGTATAAAATGTATAAAGAATAATTAAAGGTAAAAGTCATAATAAAAAATACAAATATAAAATTAATATTAATATAGTAAAATAGAGAAATTATAGTTCTTTATTAATTTAATAATATTTTAGATATATGGTCTCTGTATGGTCATGTTGCAATATCAAGTCTATAGGTTCCTCACCCATTCCACCGGCTCATTCTAATCTTGAAGTAGAACGATTATATAGTTTTTATGATATTTAATTAAAAAAAAAAACAAACATTAAGTAAAAAATAATTGTTAAAAAAATGTTTATTTAATAATATGTCTATGTACATTATACTACATAAGTTTGTCGTTTATATACAAACTTTCTGGAATGGCTAAGTAATAACCAGCCACAGACCCAGCGGGCTAAAGGGCTTTACTCCCCCACCCCTTCTTCTACGTGTTTATATTATATTAAGCATTTATGAAATATATATATATTTATGTACACGACATATTACATTAATTGTATGCACAATGTACTTAAATTATTTATGGCATATTTTCTAAGAAAAAAAAGTGGACCATTAAGATTTCCAGATGCAGGCATGTAAATAACAATATTATTTAGCCACAAATGATTTTTCTTTATTTAAAATATTAATGCATTCTGATTAATAAGTAATAACATTTCAAAGAAAATTCATTTAAGTGATCAATTATTTATGCTAAATTCATTAAAAATGTACTTCTTATGAGTCGGTGAAAAGTCTTAAAACTTTAAAGCAAATGTAATCAAGGAACTCGTGTACTATAAATGTTTATTTAAGGTATGTACTTCTTGTATAGGCTTATTTGATAAGACATTTTATTGTTTGTATGTATCAAACGGTACGTCATAGAAAGATTTTAATTAGAAATGTAGCTAGAAAAAGATCTTATTTTTTTCTAAATCGTAGGTTAGGTAATTGGTTCATATTTGTTTTAGAACCTCAACCCTAACACAGTCGCGCAGTTCATTTAACAAAACTACAGTTCTCTTGGAAGTTTTGTACACACAAAATTATTTAATTTGGCGTCTAGTTCTAGACGCATTCGGGAGTAATGAAAAAGTTAAACTTTCGTGACATATTATTATATTGTAGCCTGTAGGTACCTCTACGTATGTTTCAGGGACATAGTTGTTTCAATACGGCCGTTCACGGAAACCGTCGCACAACGATGATAATTATGGGACAACGACCCGTGGCTTAACGCTACTCATGATAGATGTTTTAAAATACAGTAAGGACGTATTTCATATTTTCACAATCATTAAGACCATATTATTACGCGATACTCAGCTGTGCAGGTACCAGAGTTCAGCAAACACTCAAACGATCTGATTGCATATTTTTTAAAGCGACGTTACGCATACGAAAAATTTCGAAAGTAACCCGCAGAAATCGTCGTTGATAAAATAAAACAGTACGGTCAACAATAATCGCCGACCGGCACATGGACCTATATATAGTGCGTTTAATATATTATAATAATAATTATTATTATTATTATGACGATGACGAATCGCATTCGGTGACATACTTCTGATCGTTCGCGGCCGAATAACCTACACGGGCTCGTGATATAAAATCAAAAATCTCCGACGCGTATTCTACACACCATATAGTACAATAATATACTACCCTCGACTGATCGATCGTTCCGAGGCCGTGAATGGATGGACGTCAAATTTTTCGCTCCGTTGAAGGGTGGTAGGTCACAGGGATTTCCACTTCAAGAGTACACCTCCACCAAACCGTACTACCCCACCCATGTATAGTTCCAGATTTTGAGAAACGCATTTATAATATTATAATAGACAGGTGCACCGATTCTGTTGCACGGTGACTTGGATATAATTATAATTATAATTATTACTGTATATTTGACCTGCAAAGCGCCTGACGGGTGCTCACGATTGCCACTTACGTCGGATCTACGTCTGCAGGGTCGTAAGCATTTTGTCATTAGCAAATTTCTCACTATAATAATATTATAATATAATTATTAATTGCCTACATATCAACTGATACGGGTGTGATTCAATTAAAACAAGTGCCTCGAACGACATGTGTTGCTATCACATCATTTGGAATGGCAATAATAAAATGAAATAATATTTAACTATGAATATTGTATATCACTGAGTTTTCCCCATTTATTTTTCTTGTGATATATGACTATCATTGAACGGTGAACATAACTGAACGTGGATTAAGGCGTAACTGATATCAATTGTTCATTATTTAATATTATATATTAAGGTTCTAACTGTAGGAGTTTGTTTTTATTATTATTATTTTTCCATATTGTAATGTACTCGGTGATTCCTTGAAATCTAATTTAATACTACCTAAAATGTAATCTTTTGTGTAGTTTAATTTTACAAAATATTACGCTCATAATATTTTATTGGCCTATTACTATTTATTTTTCTCGTAATTTTGTAAAATATCAAGAAAAAAGGGTGGATACTGTCTTGTTGCAAGTTTATAACGTATTAATACTGCGTACCTACTCACAGAGTCTCAGTGTACGGTCATCAATGAATTGTATCAAATTAGATTTGAAAATAAATTATAATGTTATTTATGGACTATCGTAGACTCCAATGAAGATGAAAAGACAAATGGTATTTTTATTCATTATATGAAAGAACAATCATAAAGCTGAATATAATTTAAGGAAGTATTATTAATGACAACAAATATATTTTATAATTGAAAGCTTTCAATGCTGTTATATTATGTTTAAATTATACGACTTTAAAGAAAATACTCATGAATATCGTTGTATTAATAAATTAGCTACATTTTAAATGAAAAAAAAATAATTGTTTTAAGCGTTACAATTATCTACAATATTAGTAGCAATGTTAGTATAAATAATTTTAAATTTAAATTATAGTTTATCTTCAGTATAATACAACTTTGAATATGCTAAAAAAAATTCAACGTCAAATCATTTGACAATGATATAG